GGTGACCCGAACTTGTTCTCTTAAGCCCCCCCCTGTTGCATAGACGTGAGTGCTGAGCCAGAGTGAGAACATGAGGGCTGACTGTGTGCTCAGGTGGGGTGGGCACCCTTCAGGTCCTGAACCACTCATCCATGGGGCCCCAACCCCACCTCCCCACTAAGAACAGAGGCATTTCCCAAACACCATGTGGGCCTTCCTTGCACAAAGGATTTCTCCTACCCCTGAGGGTGGCCTTCAGTCACTTTGCCTGCTGGGTTTAATCCTATGGGGCTTTTCGCTGGCTGTATGACTTTGGGCAAGTAGCTCAACCTCTCTGTGCCTCAGTAGTTTCACCATGTAAAATGGGGTAAGAACCCCTTTTTGCATTGCCTAGATGGGAAACTTAAGTGAGTTGGCACAAGCAGGAGCCTGAAAAACATCAGCTACAGGGGCTCAGGGCTCTGATGCTGCCGGGCGGTTTGCAGGAAGGTGTCTTGGGGCTCCCACAGGAGCCTGGCTGGGGACTTCCGGGGGTCCCACCTTACGGGGTGTCCTGTGTGAGGGAAGAAAATCAAGCCCTGCTGGGAGCTAGGTTTTCGACTGTGGAGCGCTGGCTTCAGTGGGAAGGGGGCCCTGGTGGCAAGTTAGTGCAAAGCTGACACCTGGGATCTGTGGATGGGCTGTGGGCGCTGTGCACCACCCAGAACCACGGGGAAATATGGTGTGTCTGCCCACTTTCGGCCAAGGAAGGGGGAGGCATCTGCGCCCGACGTGCCCCCAGGTCCCAGGTTAGGATCCCGGAAGGTCACAGCGCAGCAAGAGCTGCTTCCGACCAGCGTCCAGGCAGCACGCAGCCGGCAGAGGGCGCTCGGCCCAAGGCTGTGACAGGCTGAGGCTGCGAGCGGGCTCCGCGGGCGGCTGCGCAGGCCGAGGCCGGCCAGGACCTGCTGGCACCCGGCTGGGCTGGGGCTCCTCGCCCCTCAGTCACCCTCCTGTCACAGACACCAGGCAAAGCGCGGTGCTAGGTGGGGGGCAGCTCCTGTCTGAGGTGTCACGACCACCGCTGCGGTCCAGCGCTGCCCTGGGTGGGCCCTTGCGGTGCAGGCCTGGACATCCCAGGTGGAGGGGCTTCCTGGGGAATAAATAGCCCTGCCCAGGTGCCTCCCCTAGAGACTGTCATCAGCCTGGGGTGGACCTGGGCATCAGCATTCGTTAGACCCTCCAGGGCGGAGCATCATGGTGTAAAATTTCCTTTACCTTCCACAAAGAGTTCTGAGGGGAAGTTGCCATCCTTATTTCTGCCCATTTTACAGGGGAAGAAACTGAGGCTCAGAGGTGACTGGTCAGCCCCCAGCACCCTATCCGATTCCCCTGCCCTCTGGACTTTGCCACCGTTTCAAGGCTGGGCTGCTTCTCCAGCAGCGGGTGAAGATGGCTGGTAGCAGCACAGACCACAGGTGGGGGCGGCAAAGGGAATGGGCAAATGAGGGACCAAGGGAGAGCTGGGCCGGTCACTGAGTCCCAAACAGCTTCTTCAGCAGCATGCGTGAGAGCGCTGGCTTAAGAGCCCAGTGGCCTTGCTTCAAACCCTGCCTCTATCCCCTGGGCATCTACCTTACCTCCCTGGACCTCAGTTTACTTCTCTGGGCAATGGGCTCCCTGAGACTCATCCAAGACTGGCTATACTGCATCTCCAGGTTATTTGCCTGGAGAACCCTTAGTTCACAGAACCTCTTGCAGATGGAATATTTTCACAGAGTACAAATGCTGGGCCTGCCTGTCCCTCTCCCCATCCATGCAGCATGGCTGCCCTTGGGTTGGTGGCATCCTGGTTTCATCCATCTGAGTGAGGATCCTGGTAGATATCAGTGAGCCTCTGGGAGGAGGCCTTAGCCTCTGGGCCAGAAAAATCTGACTCAGAAGCTGGAAGGCTCAGCCCTTGGTGTGGATTCCACTTTTCAGCTTGGGCATGTCATTTACCCTTCCTTGGCCCTAATGTCCTCATGTGCTTAAGAGGAGGATTAAAGGATGCTTAGAAAATGCCAAGATATGGAAGCAACCTAAGTGCCCATCAGTCAATGAATGGATAAAGAAGATGTGGTACATATACACAATGGAATATTATTCAGCCATAAGAAGAAAACAAATCCTACCATTTGCAACAACATGGATGGAGCTGGAGGATATTATGCTCAGTGAAATAAGCCAGGTGGAGAAAGACTAGTACCAATGATTTGACTCATTTGTGGAGTATAACAAACAGGCAAAACTGAAGGAACCAAAACAGCAGCAGGCTCACAGACTCCAAGAAGGGACTAGCGGTTACCAAAGGGAAGGGGTGGGGAGGGTGGGTGGGGAGGGAGGGAGAAGGGGATTAAGGTGTGTTCTGATTAGCACACATAGTGTATGTGGGTCACTGGGAAGGCAAGTATAGCATGGAGAAGACAAGTAATGCCTCTATAGCATTTTACTACACTGATGGACAGTGACTACAATGGGGTGTGTGCGGGGGACTTGATAATATGGGTGAATGTTGTAACTACAGTGTTGCTCATGTGAAACCTTCATAAGATTGTATATCAATGATACCTTAATGAAAAAAAGAAAGAAGGAAGGGAGGGAGGGAGAAAGGGAAGAAAGAAAGAAAAAGAAAAAGAAAGAAAGAAAATGTCAGGTGCTCAGTAGGTCTTCATGAGTCTCTGACCCCTCCAACTTCAGGGGTGAGCCCACATTAGCTGCAACCCATCCCCATCACCAACTGGAGACAGTAAATCTTGGGGTGGTTCAGAAGTTATTTTTGCTCCCTGTGGGGATGTGAGGTCTGGAACCACAGCAGCCACTTTGTCACCATAGGACAGACCTCCTGTAGTTGGAGAGTCTCCATAAGGAGCCTGAGAAAGCTGAGTCTGTGGGGGCCAAACAAAGAGATGAAGGGACAACACGTTCTTGGCCATATTGTTTGAGCTGCTGGGTGAGGTCTGATGATAAGAGCCAAAAAACACCCATCCATATATATAACAGTACTGTTTTTTAATTCAAAAGTTCTAATGAATCTGTAATATGCCCACCTACAGTTCTTAAATGCAAACATTTAAAAAAATCTTCTCAGTATCATTTTTCCCATTGAAGATTTCATGCCCACCTTCCCCCAGCCTCCCATTCTAGACCAGACTGAGTTGTTTTCTCAGTTTTCTGCACAGTATCAGAAACCAGACGCCCTATGCTGGGTTTTTCCTCTCTGGTCTTTCTCTGTGTGCCCCTTGGTTTAAGAGAGGGTGTCCACCTGTCTGTATCTTCCTGAGAAAGGGTTATGAAAAGAAAGTCTTTGGGCCATTTCCTCGAAAATGTCCTATTGACCCTCTCCTGATGAGTACCCCGCAGGGAGGCGGCAAGACCCGGGTGAAAAGCATTTTCCCTGAGAATTCCCAAGGCTGGTCCTCCGCCGTCCAGGCTGATATGGAGCCATCCAATGTCACTTGAACTCCAACATATATATGGCTCATTTTTGTTTAATGTCTGAAGGCCATTTGCATTGTCTTTTTATCCTGAGTTTTTTTTGAAATTTCGTTCGAATAGTTTCCTTCATTGAGGCTTTTATAGTCACAGTGCCAAGTATTAGGAGGGTTTTTCCATCTGGAAATTCAGGGTCTTCCATTTTGGGACTTGTTTTATATTTTTTGTTTGCCTGTTTGCTGTAATGACAGAGCTTTGAAGTTTTCTCCTGTTCATTGCATTTTCTCTAGTTTTTCACAGTTCCCATAATTTCAGAAGCTTTTCTCAAATGTCTGTGAAAATATCATTTTTTAAAAAGTCAATTTGAGGAGGGTTTACTTATGACCCGCATCGATGTTTCACCACACACACTCCCCAGTTGAAAGCGCACACGTCCACTGATGGCAGCTTGCCCCCGCGAACATTGCATGACGGAAGCAGAAGAGCAGTTCTTGGTGTTGCACAAAATGGAGACAAAGGCACAGAAAGAGTGAAATGATTGTGCACCTACATAAACCCACGGTATGACTCAACTCCACTGCTGCCCCTCAGAGGAAGGGCCTCCTGTTCCCTTTGCTAAAGAAAGTCCTTCTGTGTTTGGGGAATCCTAGGGGGAGACACCCGCGTGCCATTCCCGAGGTGCACACCTGACTTTGCCAGTATAGCATCCTTTCCTCTCCTTCCTGGGGAAAGGGGCACGTGGCTGACCTCACCTCCTCCACCATGGGGAGTACGAACTGACCCCACATTTGCCAATCGGAACACTCCTTTCTCCCCGATTGGTTCAAGGATCAGTGACTCCTGCCCGACCAGCCCTCCCTGAGACGTTCTATCAGCAGTCCTGGGCTTGAAGAATTCTCTTTCTGCTAAACCCACATAAGCCTTGGGTGGCTGGTGACCACATGGAGAGAGTCTCTCAGAGAGATAGAAGGAAGAGGCCTGATACCAATGACTGAGCCCTGGATCCAGCCATTCCTGAAGGTAGGTATCTTGATTTCCCAGTTGTAAATAGATTCCTTCTTTTAAGCCTGCGTAAGCTGGGTTTCTGTCACTTGTAGCCAAAATGCCCCTGAATCACTCCCTAGACTCTTTCTTGCTCTAAGCCTCTAAGCTTGGCTGTCTGCTACAGCCCCACACGTGAGTAGTCCCGTCTGGGCTCACCCTGAGTCAAGAAGAAAATCTGGGAAGAGAAAATAGAATTGCATGTGTGAGCAGATCATGGTGGTTTTGGAAAATCACTGCTGAATCACAAAGCAAGTTTCTTCTCCTCCTCCTACCCGCAACCCCACCCTGAGCATCAAGTTCAGGGTGCGCACGCTCCTCACCGAAGGCAAGCTGGGTGGGTGGGTGGGGCAGTGCGAGCAGAAGGCTGGGGGATGGATGGACTTCATCATTCTGCGCAATGGGTGGTAGCTGGTTAATCACCTTCCTGAAGAGGCCAGTGTTGACCTTCACCTCCAGCCCCCATTAACTGCCAGCGATGCTTTGTCAGCATGTTTATGGCAAATTAATTATACAGAGAAGGGAAACGGCGCAGGGAAAACCAGCATCTGGCTTGGGCTGGTGGTGGGGGCTGAGGCTGAGTTCTGAGATGCATCTGGGCCCCCCACTGATGTGACTTGGTTAATTTGACCACAGACCTCAGAGAGGCAAGCCGTCAGTTTTCAGCCAACCACAGAGGGAAGACAATGCCAGAAGCAATGAGCAGAACTCAATTTCAAGCCCTTGACACCTGGCGGCATGTTTGTAGACTGGATATACAATGAGGGAAAGATCTGGTGGCCCCAGGTCATCGTGGTGGCTGAGATGACTTTTCCTTCAGTCCATAGGACAAGACCTCTTCCCTGCATAATGACCTCAACGTCTTCGCTGCATCGACCTGCCGAGTGTTCCTTTGAATACATGTTGGGTAGGGCTGTGCTTGTACAGAGCTCAGCGTCAAGTCCAAACTCCCAGAGCCCACCTAATCCTCACCAAAACTGCGGGAGCCCCAGGAGAGTATCATCCTCATTTTTACAGCTGGGGAAACAGAAGCTCAGAGCTGAGTGACAGGTTAGGTCGTTCAGCTAGGAAGAGTTGACCCCACACACTCAAACTCCAGAGTGGCTGCTCGCTGGGGTGACCCTCTCTGCCTCCTGGACTCTGAGGAATGGGGCCTCGTGAGTGAGTGTTGAATGGGCGGACGGACGGATGAGGGACGAGAGACCACGCAGGAGCCCTGGGGGGCCCCAGGCTCACCTGCGTCCTCTCCCAGCTCCCCAGGGTCCCGCCTGCTGTCCTCAGGCCCTGCAGCTCCTCCCGGACCAGCTGCCCCTGGCTGATGTCAAGCCACGCTGCTACTGTTGCCGATGGCAGTGTCCTCCAGGAAGCACAAACTGACACGGACTCTCTGGGCAACGTCCCCGTCTGCGTGAGGTCCTGGTTCTGGCATTCTAACGTCAAACAAAGTTTCTGGGCCGACAGTGGAGGCAGAGACTGTGGGTCAGCCGAGGAGAGAGATGTCAGGAGGGGTGTGGGGGCAGCTGTGCGGTGGCCCCAGAGCCCTGTCCCCCAGCCTGGCTTCCAAGCTCTCTGTGGCTAACTCCCCTCCTGAACGCCCTCCAGCGGCCCAGGCCCATGCTCAGCCCACAGCTGAGACTCGGTGCCTCACCTGCCTGGGCTGCCAGCTCCCTCTGCAGCCCGCCTACCCTGTTCCCTGCCCCCACCCCGGGCGGCAGTGCGGGTCCCACCTTCCCCTGCAGCCTCCGGCTCCTGGCCCTCCTCCCCCTCTGGCCTGCCTCTGGCTTGCCAGTGCTGCGCAAGATGCAGCCTGGGCCCTCAGGGTCACTGTCAGTGCTTAGTAGGGCACAGGTGCTCAGAGGCTCCTGTCCTCCACCCTCCTTAGATGCCATTCCAGCCCAGCAGCAGCCTCTGTCTCCCCTTCTGCCAGCCCGGCCTCTGTTGCCCCAGGCCCACTGTGCAGGTAAGGAAACAGGTTCTCTGAGGAGGACTGTAGGGGAGGGGAACCCCAGGGCTAGCTCTAAAAGCCCGCCTGCTCTACCCTATGCTATAGCCTGGGGTGGAAGGACAGGGATTTCCCATCATGCCTTTCTCTCACAAAGACTAGCTCAAGTTCTGTCCAGTGAGGAGCCGAAGAGGCTGGGGTGGGATGGGGACAGGATGGCCATGTGATCCCATTACCTGGGGGGCTGCCAAAGGGGCAGTGGGCAGGGCACTCGGCTGGTGGAGTGGGGGGCATGCAGTCTCATCTCGTTGCTGTGTCCCAGCTGCACCTGTCTGAATACACACCTCTCCATGTGGATGTCTGGGTTCCCCCAGGATCCAGCCAGGGGACTCTGAGTTGTAGGACCAGCGGCAACACTGGAGGGAGGGAGAGGGGAGCTGTCAGGCCTAGCAGGGGACACGGCAGTTCTGCCTCTGAGCCCCACCCTCTGGGTGCCCCCCACACAGAAAGCCCTGGCCAGACTGAGGGGAAAGCCTCTGAATTCTTCCTACACACCTGAGGAAGGGGACTGTCCATTTCAGGCTGTGGACAGGAGAGCAGGTGGGCTCAGCAGAGCAGTGGGTGGGGGGGGTCCCCAGGTTTTTACAACTGGTGACTGAGTGTCACTGGAGCCCTTGAAAACCAGAACAGTGAGCACACGCCTGCTGCCCCGTGTCCCCAGCCCTCTGAGTCCATGAGCAGGAAGGGCTAGCTGGTCTGTACTGTCCCTCCACGCTGAGCACTCTGACGTTACTTTGCTAAGCATGCGTTTTTATGGAGACCTTCCTGGTCTTGAACTTAAGGTAATGCTGTAAAAGTTTACTTTAAAATAAATGGGAATAGAACAAAAAGACAAACTATTTAACAGTCTCAAGTAGTTAATCAGACATGGGCATGGCCAAAATTAGGAAGGTGGAGGCTCAGAGACTAAAGTTGGGAAAAAGTTGATTTAGATTTTAAATCAAGAGATTCTAGAACCAAGATCATTTCACACTTGGGAACACTGAGGCCCAGAGCCAGGAAAGGGTCTCCTGAGGTCCCAGGGAGTATTCCAACTTTTAAGCTGATGCTCTCTCTCATGTCCACTGGCTGGACAGATAGTGGCCCTGTCCCCACCCAGCAGTGTCTGTCATGGAGGGGGTGCTCAATGCTGGGGCACATTTCATCAAAACTAGGATGGCAGTGGTGAGGTGCATCCTAGTTTTGGAGACATTAAAATGTGGGAAAAAATAGTGTGTTTCAAAACAAACAAAATACTCCAGTGGGAAAACATATTGAATTGTTTCTCATGGGAAAAGATCAAGTCCCATTGAAAATGGGGCCAAAGGCATTGGAGGGAGAGGAAAACAGGAGAGGCTCGATCCAGGCACAAACGAAGACTTGGTCGGGGAGGATCTTAGAGACAGGAAGGCCGCCCTTTCTCCTCAGAGGCTTGAAGGGGTCAGGTGGCCCTGGAGGCCCCTTCTGCTCCTGTCTCTGAGGACTCACCACTCTCCCTGGGCGCCGTTTGTCTCACAGTGACGTGCCCGTGTCCAATCTGAATGCCCCCGGAGTTCTCAGTGGAAATGGGGCTGTTTGGTCCCTTTTGACAGATCATGTTGATGGGATTCTGCTGGTAAACAACTGTAGTGGACTGATTCCTTCCCCCAGAATCTTCTGCAAAATAATATTCCACTCATTCCCTTTCCATCTCTCTAGGAGTCAGGGGTTCCAAATACCAGCTGGCAACACCAAAACCTCCTGGTGTTGTTAAAATTCAGATTCCCAGACTGGGGTGCTCAGTCAGCAGGCCAGAGACAGGACCCAGGAAAGGGCATAGACCAAATGCCACAGGGATCTCAGATGAGCCTTGCTAGGATATTGGGGAGGCTGGTCACCCTGCCTGTGTGTCCTCTGCCAGCCCAGGAGGATCATGGGAGCCTGTCCACTCCCCTTACCCTCTGCCCCCTCACTGTGAGGCATCCACAGCCCTGACCACTGAGTTCCAGGAACCCCTCTTCCTTTAGCAAGGGCTGTCCACCACATAAGCTTTGTTCGACACACGTGGCATTTTTAAGAATTTGGATTTCTTACCAGTGCTTAACATCTAGCCGCTGTCACGCACTACTATCCTTGCCTGGATGCTGAAACCCCCCTGGGCACCAGGAACAGGGACATCAGACCCACACAGCCAGGCAGGCGCCTGACTGGGGCTTTGCTGACTCCACACATGGGCCACATTCCCACTCACACAGGCCCTCACCTCCTACCCTAAAAAGTATGTAAAATTACATTTTATGACAGTGTTGGAATAAAAACAAATATAATCTAGCCTGGAGTCATAATTAGCTATTACTATTACAATATTCATTTCTTCTGATTTTAAGAGAAATTAGAACATTTTCACGAATGCCCTAAAAGTACAGTGGGCTGTCAGCCCTGGGCTTGCTGCATGCAACGGATACGTTGGCCCTGGTCCTCTTCCCTGCACGTATCTGAGTCCAGCATTTTAAAGTTTTCCAGCAACTTTAAAACTACACTGGGCAAAGGGCTTACAGAAAACTGTCAGCAAACTCAGGCTGAGCCCTGTTCGCAGGGCTGGTGATTAAGAGGGAGCAGCCTTCCCTCCCAGCACCTTGCTTTCTGTAACTGCAGCCTCACACCACCACCAGGAAGCCCTCCTTGTTCATGCCTGCCAGCACACCTCTCCCTCCTGGAACCCCTTTCCAGTGACCGATTGGCAAGATTGCTGCAAGCTTCTGGGGGGGTCTGATGAGGTGGAGCAGTTTGCAGGGCACCCCACAAGGGCCAGTGTTGAGTATTATGGCTTGTCCTCACAGCTCTGTCCGCCCCTCCAACCCCTGGCCCTGTGCAGGTGTGCGCAGCAGGGAAGGGCCTACCTGACTGCTAAATTGTCAGTGTATTTGAATTCTGGTCAAGGTCCAGAAGGCGCCTGTTCCTCAAAGCACACAAGTCTCGCACGACTCCTTTCGTTGTTTTCATTCCCAGGGCCTGGGCAACGGCTGTGGCTTAACGGGGCCCATGGGCTTCCAGAAACCTGTAGGTCTTTTCCTCTGGGAGGCAGGATAGTGCATGGTTAGGGAGGACCCCTGGAGTTTGAATCTGCTCCATTGCTTACTAGCTGTGTGACCTTGGACAGACCCAGCCCCTCTGTGCCCCTGTCCTCAACTGTAAAATGGGCATAATAACAAGACCTCACAGAGGTTATTCTGAGGATCAGGGATGTACATGAAGTGCTCCAAGCAGGACCTGGCACGTGGTACTTGCACAATAAATGTCAACTATTGAGCCGTTAAATGATTTCTCAGCCTTTGAGCTTCTTCCACTGGGAAAACTGAGCTTCTTGCCTCTGAAAACTTTGTGGGAACCGCTTGGTGGATAGACCATGGCCCCCAAACACTTGTGCCGTCCCAAGGGCCAAAGGAAATGGGCTGATTGTCCTGGGAGCTGCAAGGAAACCAGGATGCTTATGCTGCTTTCTCAGCTGAGGGCCGGGTTTCCCTGAAACTGCGACTCCATCTTGCTGGGGGGTCATTGCTGGAGAAAGAAAGATGGGTCAGTGGGTGGAAGACCAGGAGAGGGGCAGGGACCCTCCACAGGGGGCCCCTGCACACACGTCCCAAACTCGGATTTTAGAATTGAACACACTGGCTTCAAATGCTGCCCAGCAACCTTCCAGAGGTGCGGCTTCCCTGCTGATTAACCCCAGGAGGAGTGGGTAGGATGCCATCCAGCCACCCCCGGGGCTGTGAGAGAGGGCGGTGAACCCTGGACACCACACCAGCCTCCTTGACACATGTCCACTCTTTGGGCCTGTGGGTTGTAGGATTAGGAAAAAGGGTCTTGTGTGGTTCTAAGTCTGTTCTATCATTATCACTGCTATTGTTATCATAATAATAATAATATTATTATGAATGTTTTGCTGGCATAAGGCTGAGTCCTTTGCACCTAATCCTCTTGCAACCCTATGAAGCAGCCCCATTATTATCTCCATGGGCCAGAAAAAGGAATTAAGGCACCGTGGGGGACATCATGCACCTGGAGGGGTGGAGCCCCTATTCAAACCCAGGCCCAGACCCCACTTGTCCGTGGCTGGGGCAGCTCATGCTGGCCTGTCTTCCCTTCCCCCAGCCCAGAACAGCAGGGGGACCCACCGCTCCAGCCCCATCCCCGCAGAGGTGCCATGTCGCCTGGCCTTCAAGGGCAACTTTCGACTCCTTCTTCAGGCGGTAGAGGACTTGGTTGAGCTTCTTCTTGAGCTCTTGGCAATCCCCTGCCAGCAGGCAGTCTTCACAGGGGAGCCAGCATCCCTCAGCACCTGCAGGGTCTTCTTTTCAGGGTCTGGGGGATGGAGAGAGGGGCAGGGAGAGAACCAAGACCCCGATCATAGAGTCTGGGCTGGAGGCCTGGGAGGCAGGCAGAGCCCCATGAGAGGGGTCCAGGGCAGCAGCGGGACAGAGACCCAACCAGACAGCCATTAATAATATCTCTGTTCAGTGAGGGGCACGTGGGCTGGTCAGAAATGGCTTTGACTGGACAGCCTGGTGGCCAGAGGAGGTGCCCTGGCCTTCCAAGTGTCCTCTGCCCCATGTGAGTGCTGGGGGGCGAGTGGGAAGCTCAGCTCTCAGATGTCCTCAGGGGGAGGGCAGTGAAGGGCAGCAAGATGGGGCACAGTCAGGACAAGAGAAGTGGGGGAAGAGGGCAAATCCCAGCGGGCTGGGGGCATGACCCTGCCTCCTGGGCTCACATCCACATCGCTAGTCATCCATGTCAGAAACCTCAGAGGCCTTCAGAAAGGGTCTTTCTCCCGATGCCCAATCGTGGAGACCTGGACATACTGCTGCTGACTCCCTCTTGAATCCCTTTTCTTCTCTGCCTCTACTTCCCCATCCTTTGTCACTGTGCCGCAGATGGCAGCAATCCCACCAGCTCCTGTTGGGTTTCCTCTCATTCACCCTCTACATGGCACCTGCCAACTGTGTGGCCTCATCTTCACACACCCTCAACTTCGCTGCAAGTGCCAACCCCTCTCTGCTCCTTCCAGCCCCACCTACCTCTGGGCCTTTGCATATGCTGTTCCCCCTGCCAGGAACACTCCTCCCTCTGTCTCCCCCTGTCTAAGGTCTATTCAATCTCCAGTTCTTGCTCAGACACCACCTCCTTGGGAAGCCAAACTGGGTGCCTTGAATGGGTGGGGTGCTGTTTGTGTGGGGGTCCCCTGCAGAATGTCCCCAGGAGTCCTCTGCTGTGATTGCCTGGTCACTGTGGTACCTTGAATAAATGAGTGACTGTGTGAGTGAGTGAGTGGATGGCCTTGTCCACACCTGGAGAGATATCTGCCCCAAGGACCCTGGGTGGGGTGCAGGCGGCTTCTCCTGGGCCTGTTTCCCCACCCAAGAGGGGACCCTATGCAACATCCTGGAGGCCCAGGGAGGAACTCCCCAAATGGCCCCTGCTGCCCCCGGACAGGCTGCCACAGACCCGGGCCAGCTGCTCTGAGAGGGAGAGGACAGGCAGAGACAGGCAGATGTGGCTCCAGCAGAGTCCTGGGAGCAGGGGACAGCCCAGTGGGGGACACAGATGTCCTGGTGACAGTTTGGCCTGGGAGCTAGAGATGGCCCTTTGGGCAGCAGCCCAGTGTCACCAGGAAATGTCCGCTCCCAGAGCCCTGAAGCCCTACCTGGGGAGACCTGGGAGGGCAGCAGGCCTGTCCTGTGCCCTCCAGGTCCCCAGGGTCTCTGGGTGGCAGTGCTGTGGGGGAAGAGCTGACCCATGTGATGACAGCAGCCTGGGGCAAAGTGCAATTAGAACACCGGGGGGTGCCCACACCTTCACCCACCAAACTCCACCGCCAGTGCCGGAATCCATGGCCAAGACAGCACACCTGGTTTTGCCTTAATCTTGAAATGAGTTTTGATTCTTGGAAAGCCTGCTCCTGGGTGAGCCCCACCCACCTCCACTCCCTGGACCCCCAAGGAGAAGTGGGGTGGGGACTGTAAGTACAAGCCTAGCCCAGAGGATTGTGGGTATGTGGTGTGTGCCCTGGCTGCTGCCTCTGGAAATGGCGAGGTGTAAGTAGCAACCATAGGGAAAGGGAAACCTAGCCTACCGGGGACAAAGTTCATTTCAGCTACTGAGCGACTGGGGCCTGCATGCTCCCTGTAGGGTCAGACAGTGACCAGGAACCAGCCTGGTTGCTTGGACGGCACCCGCTGGCACCCCTCCCCAGCACTCCAGCCTTTTCTCCTTGTTTGAGCCCCAGCTCTGCCACTTACTGGCTGTGACCTCTCTGCCTCAGTTTCTCCATCTGTGAAATGGGGGTAATAGCAGCTGCTTCAAAGACTGTGCTGAGGATTAAATGAGCTAATCATAACAAAACAAAACAACAATAACAAAAAGCACCCGGTGCCCCACTCCCACAAGCCCTCAGTGGTGGCCCTGCAATTATCCAGCACATGGTATTTCCTTGGCGTTCTGTCAGGAGTAAAGCCTTATCAGAGGACAGAAGGCAGCAAGGAGGACATACAGACATGCACGTGCACCTCTCATCAAAGCAGTCTGTGTTTTTCTCAAAATGAGAGTGAGATGTCAGCTGTGACCCTGAGTCATTCCACCTGCCAGGGACTCAGTGATCCTTGTGTAAAATGGAAACACTGTTGCACTCGCTCGAGGATTTTTGTGAAACGCATGCACAGCGCGCTGCAAGGTGCCCAGGCAGAGCTGGCCTTCCGGACCAGACACCATACCATGGTCTGCTCTGCCCCATTACTGCTGCACTTTAGGGGGGTGTTGTGGTCACGGCTATAATCGCGGCTGACAAATGGAGCAGGAAAGAGGAGGGTGAGCCCTGCCGGGGTCTCCCACTGCTCCCTGGAAGAAAGTACCTCTTTGCCTGGGTCAGCAGGGACCTCGGCCATGCTGACAGCAGCTGCTGGAAGCCCAGGAATCTCAGTGGGGGGCAGCGGCCAGCTACCACACCGTGGCCTGGGAGGATGGGCTGGGTGGAGGCTGGATGTCCCTACATGGCTGAGCGTGGTGCTTCTGGCAGCCGGCAAGGGACATCAGCTTCAATAGGGTGGTGTTAGCTGTTCACACCCCAGAAAGAGGCCTACTCAGTCCGACCTGATCAGCTTTCTGGAGAAGAAGAAAATGAAACCTCTGTGAGTGGCTTTCAAAAGAAACATAAGTGAAACCAGAACTAATGGCCAAGGCCTCTGTCTATGTGTCTGTGAGGATGAGCTGAGCTCGGCAAGACACAGCATTCCCTGGGGCCAGGGCCTCCCAACCTCCTGGGTGGCTGCCACTGCCCCTTCCCCACACTCCCGACACCCACACCCAGGCCAGGACATCAGGAGGGTGCATGGGTGCCCTGCAAGCATTCGTGTGCGTATCAAAATGATAGCTTCCTTAATGAGCACCTACTATGTGCTTCCTCATCTCCTGTGCCCCGTGACTACTCACAAGGTGGGTCAGCGCTGGGCTCCTTCCCAGAGAGGCTCAGGTCAGTGAGCGCACTCGCCCAAGGCTGTGGGGTGTGCGGTTCCAGCCCAGCCACACAGTGTGCTGGCGGGGTGACCTCGGGCGAGTCACTCAGCCGCTTCGTGCTTTGGTTTTCTCACCTGTAAAATGGGGCTAATAAAGGCAGTGACCCCAGGAGGTCGTGTTGAGGACTAAGAGGGTCAATCCAGCCGAGAGGTCTGACCAGAGCCCCACCCCGACTACAGCTGCAGGAGCAGCTGGGCACCACATTCTTGTTCCTGGAGAAAGGACCCCTCCCCAAGCCCGGAGCAGTTCAGAGCCACTGTTGTCATCTAGATAACAAAAGGGGAAACGGAGGCCTTTGAGGTGAAGGGCTTTGGAGTGGCAGCCAAGAGGCAAGAACTTGGCCCTGAATTTCCAGCTGCAGAGGCCGGGGAGGGCATTCCCTGGAGCCTCCTGCCCCAGCACTGCTGCGAGCAGAGGGCTAGGAACAGAGCAGGGAAAGGGGGCTGGGAGGCTTGCGCCAGAGCTGTCTTGGCGGGACAAGCAGCGAAAATCCAGTCCACGGCAGACGGACTGAAAGCGCCCCTCTCAGGGCTGGCCAGGGGCCTCAGGGGATCTTCTGCGTCAGGTGGCCTGTTGAACAACTCACCAAGAACAGGAAACCATGCTGATGCTTTTGTTCCTTTTTCATGTAAAACCGAAGAAATGTGTATCTGCGCTCGACGTGACAGTACTCATTTCAAACGCGGGTGACTGGGGCTGTTGCGGGAGATTGTGGACGCGAGCTCCGAGAGGGAGCAGTTTGCAGATTGGTCACCAGGTGGCGCCCGCTCACCAACCTGGGCCGGGTCCGCCTAGGTCAGTCCCCCTGATTTAGGGGACCCCCGACTTATCACTCCCACTAGGAAACCCGACTCCCTCCGACCGCGACCCCCTTCTCCCCATTCCCCCATCCTACTCCGGTTCTTGGCTCCTTCTCTGCATGCTGCCGACCTCTTGGTGTGGAGGCCCCAGGCCTAGGCCTTGACCCAGCTGCCCAGTGAGCCTACAGGTGAGCCTGAGGGACTCCAGCTTGATCCTGAGGATCAGCTTCGCTTCGGGAAGGACCACTTGTGTTTCAGTGGTGGAGGCTGGGGCCCTCATGGCCCGTGTCCATCTGAACAGTGTTTGCATGGCCCCTCCCATCCCCCATAGTCCTGTGGCCATGTCCGTGCAGAAACCACGTCTGGCCCCCACACTGGCTCTCTGAGCGACTCCCAGGAGTGCAGGAGAAGCCGCTCTGCCCAGAAGGCCATGCACACTGGGGGAGATGCAGCTGGACAGGATTTTGCCTTGTTCAGGGCAGGTCCCAGCTGCAGCCCTGGTGGTCCCTAGCTGTGGGCCACCACCTCTCTGGGGCTCAGTTTCTTTAATTATAAAACAGAGAATAAAGAAGAAAAAGCACATCTGGAGTATAATAACAAAGCAAAACTGAAGAAACAAAACAGCAGCAGACTCACAGACTCCAAGAAGGGACTAGCAGTTACCAAAGGGGAGGGGTGGTGGGGTACGGGTGGGGAGGGATGGAGAAGGGGATTGAGGGCCATTATGATTGGCATACATGGTGTGTGGGGTCATGGGGAAGACAGTGCAGCACAGGGAAGACAAGTAGTGACTGTGGCATCTCACTACACTGATGGACAGTGAGTGCAATGGGGTGTGGAGGGTACTTGATAATGTGGGTGAATGTAGTAACCATAATGTTTTTCATGTGAAACCTTCATAAGAGTGTATATTAGTGATACCTTGATAAAAAAATTTAGGGTAAAAAAAAAAAAAAGAAAAAGCACATCTACCCGGCACTTAGTAGGTCCTCACAAAGTTTACCTAAGTTAGAAAATGTGATGCGATGCATCTCCACTATAAACTTTAGGCACTAGGCCAAGAAAAAAGAGCAAGAAAGAAAGAGAAAGAAAAACCAGTTTAACGTGGGTGGGTCCCACCTTCCACAGCATTCTTTGACATGTCTGGGATCTAATCACACTGAGTGGGGTTCTTGCTTTTAAAGGTTTGGGTTATTCTGTATTTCTCCTCTTAGTTTAAGAGCTTTTCAAGGTAACTATGACTACAAGGATTGTATTAAACCCAAATATCAGTGGCTTAAACATTACAGGCATGTCTGGGAGGTGGCCCAGGTTTAGTTAACACATCATGTCCTTTAACTGTTTTGTGTTGAAACTGTTTACCTGAAAATAAAATAACTAGTTATTTTACCAGCAAAATGGGTTTATTTGGGAACAGCAGAGAACTGGCCTGGCAAGGGAAGCTGGGAAAGGTGGTCTTTATTCTGGGCCACAGTGTATCCAGAAAAAATTGGGAGTTCTGTAACTTCATATAGGGGACAACAGATATTCAGGGATGCTTGGATGTCTCTGTCATTGCCTGTCTCTGTCATTAACTCCGCTGTTACTCCAAGGAAGGATCAAGCCACCTCCTCTGTGCCTTTAGGTATATCCATTCATGGGAACCTGTTTGTTGAGGGGGTCTGGGGCCCCCAAGGTGCCCCCTGCTTTGCCAGGGAAGATTCTCAGTGACCTCAGGATGGGACTGCTGTCTGCTGGAGCCCAAACCCAGTGCCTTGGAAAGCACTCCTTTTTCATGGCTTGTGTTTTTCTGGAAACTATTAGAACTCTCCGCCCAAACCAGATGATAATTACATGTTACCGATCTTGAGTCTTTAAATTTCTCTCTCTCTTTTAAAAGAGAGATATTTTTACTGCACATTGTGTTGGCAAAACCCCATCTCCTTTCTACCAGGCAGCCTGGATGTTATTTTCACATTTCCTCTGTGAATTACCTCAGGGGGAGCGGGTGGAGATGTCTGAAGCACCAAATGTGTAATGACGTGTCCTGGGTCAGGAGCAAAGGTCAGAGAACCAAAGGTAGTCAGAGAGAGAGAGACAGGGGTGACACGAGGTCACAGAGCTATGGCCAGAGGCTGAAGAAAGGACCGAGCACAGCTGCTGCACCGAGGGCAGTGGGTTCCTGGGGCAGCTGGTTCTGGGGTCCAGCCTGGCTCTGTTCCCTGCCCTTCCAGGAAGAACTCAGTGGGCCTCCACTGGTCATCCGTATCCTCTGGAGTCAGACAGACCTGGGGCTCTTGTCCCTGCACCCTTACCCTTTAGCTCCGTGCCTGGGGCAAGTCACTGCCCTTTCTGAGCCTCAGTTCTCCCATTGAGAAAGGGGGCAGAGCAGTACCTGCCCTAGGTTGTTGCAGAGGTTGCGCGCACCTGCAGGCCCTAGCAGAGCATATGGTAAGCTCGGCGAGCACAGGCTTGTCGTGTTATCATATGATGCCAAGTGTCCCTCTCTAAGGTGGCCAAGTAGTGCCATTTATTCATCTGGTCTTCCACTTCACACTCCAGCTGCAGAAGAGGCCACACTGCCCAATTCAGGAGGGGACAGGTGGTCCAGGTGGAGTCCCCAGCAGTGCCGACCACTAAGGGGACCTGGGTGGGGGAACATATAAGTCAGGGGATGGGCAGGAACCAGGGCATTGACGGCCATGGCAGAAAGTTGAGATTTTCCCCAGAGAGCAAAGGAAGGGCCACTGGGAGATCTTCATTCAAAGTGAGTTGGGGATTTGGAAAGGTGGCCCTGTGCTGGAGGTGGACAAGGGGAGAGGGATGTGCCAGTACCAGGCTGTCTTCACACCTCTCTCCCTCACCCAACTCTTTTTAGAGAGCCCTTCCCCACATCCCAAGAAACATATTGAAATGAATTCACATCAAACTTTTATTTTTATAATCGGAAGATCTTTTGTTCATGTTGCTTCCAAAATTATTTGCCTATAAGAAATTCACTTAAGGACAGTTGGCCGCCATTTCTCCACCAAGCATCTGGTATTGTTGGGAATACTTGCAAAATGAGATGTCACCTATAAATTCATTTTAAATATAATAAAGTGTAATGAAATTTTTATGATGACTAAATGGAACAATTAATGAACTTGACATAGTGTTAGGCTTCCTAGACATTTAATTAAACATTTATTGATTCTGATTTTGCAGTGGGTTTTTCTCCCCATATTTTGGAGCTCAAACATTTTCAAAGGCTCTTGACGCTTTCATAGGCCTGAGGCACTAAAATTCCTCTGCCCAGAAGGTAAAATGGAAAATGCAGAGAACACACACCACGGAGCCAGGTTTCCCGCTCTTCTGAGGGTTGTGCCCAGAGGATCGCGGAATGTGGGATACGGGGTGTGCGAGAGAACAGGTTTGCATGTTAATTTGTAATTCAATGGGTATTCTAGTCTACGTTTGACCCAAAGATGTATCTTAAAAAACTTAGTGACTGAATAGCCACTGATATTTATTCAGGGCTTCCTGTGGACCCCATTCCCAGTGCTTCACATTATCTCACTGAATTCTTCTGGCAGTCCCGTAAGGCAGCAAAGCAGTGGTACATCGGCATCTTACAGACAAGGAAACTGAGGTGCAGAGAGATTACTGCGTGACACGGCCAGGACCATGGAGCTGGTGCGTGGACAGGCGCTCAAACCCAGGCTACCAGGCTCCAGGATCCACGCTCGTAGCAATTATTTCTGCTGCTCTGAACAGGGATGTTGCTGTCCATAAGGCTACGGGGGTAAGAGGCAGCACTTTCTATGCCAGACAGCTGCGTGCCACCCAGCATGATTCATCAGACCCACCAGGAAAAAAAAATATTGATATTTAATTGTTTTCTAAGGTTTCTTTGACTGAGTGTGCCCGTCTTAGTCCATTCAGGCTGCTGGAACTAATTACCATAGACAGGGTGACCTAAACAGCAAACATTTCTCACAGTTCCGGAGGCTGGCAGGTCAAGGTGCTGGCAGTTTCGGCTCTGGTGAGACCCACTTCCTCGTTCATAGACAGCCGTCTTCGGCCATGACCTCACACGGTAGGGTGCACGGGGTGCAGAGCAAAGCCTCTCCTAAGAGCACTAATAAGAGCACCTTTATAATAAGAGACCCTCATAAGAGCACTAATCCCGTCATGGGGGCTCCACGACATGACCTCCTCTAACCCTAACCACCCACCCCCCCCCGAAGTCCCCACCTCCCAATACCATCACTCGGAAGGGGGAAGGTTTCAATGTACGGATTTGGGGAAAACCCATGACAGTGTTCACATGAGCAGAGTGCGGAGCTAAGTACCCAGAGGCACAGAAACCCGGCAAGTTTGTAGAAGGAAGTCCAATACTTAAGATTTTTTTCTCAACAATTTTTATATCAGTTCCATGTTGAAATTATATATTTTTTTTGAATACATCAAGTTGTCTTTTCAAAAAGACTTGGTGACTGTATGCCCCACACCTGAGCAGGTGCCCAGCCCCCTGAATACACACACACACACACACACACACACACACACACACACACACACCACGAGCCCCTCTACCTTCCCCCTGAATACACACACACACACACACACACACACACCCCGAGCCCCTCTACCTTCCCCCTGAATACACACACACACACACACACACACACACACCACGAGCCCCTCTACCTTCCACAGTTCAAGCCCTTTTCCTCTGAAGTGTTCTGACCTCACTTTGCTGACCACCACCTGACAGTCCGTTGCCCGAGGCTGGGCACCCCAGAAGCACACCCGGAGGCAGAGATTTGGGTGCAAGAGGTTTAACTGGGAGATGATGCCAGGAAACACCGGAAGGGTGGTGTGGAGGTGGGCCAGGGAAGGATGGAGGCTAACCAAGGGTTCTGCGGTCAAGCCAGTGACCTTGGTGGGCAAGTGGGGCTCAGTGCCTTGGGGAGTGCTGGGAAGGCTGATGTCGTCTCAGGGTTCCCCACCCCCCTCTTCATCACTGGTGGAGGCTGCTCCCCATAGCTATTCCTCAGCATTTCTGGCCTGCTGCATGGTCGCCAGAGAAGCACCCGGAAGCCAGAGAAAGCCTCAGGCAGCAGGACACAGATGCTTTCAGCTGGAAGTTGGAACTACTTGGACAGAAATGGAAAGTGCCAAGGAGATGTGGGGGCGCTGATGGCATTTGCTCCAGTTCTCTGCACAAGTTACTCCTTTTGGGAACTAAGGCCCCAGGAATGAATTGGCTGAAAAGGGACAGGGGAGGCTTTGAATCGGATCATAGGACCGCAGAGC